AGGCGGGAGCTCCTTCTCTATGGGGCCCGCACTTCATGTTGGTAATCCGAGCGGGACATCGGAAACGTGTAACTGTCGTCACTGTTGGCCTCCTCAGGCTTGAGTATGGAGTAAGTCTCCGGCGGGAGCCCCGTCTGTGAGCGAATCGCAAGGAAGTCTCAAGCGGGAGCCCCTTCCCTATGGGGCCCGCATTTCACGTTGGTACTTCGAGCGGGGCATCCAGAGTTTCTAACTGTCCTCACTTTTCCAAGTGATAGAGTATTTGCGGCCCTCGTCGGCGCAGGACAAAGGCGCCATGATGGTCGTGGTTTTCTCGAACGCGCAAGCGAAGAACATCTCCACAGAGACTGTGAAAGCCAGAACGCTGCACAACGCCTGTGCCCTGCGAGTCCAGAAATACATTAACGCGAAGATGAGGCCGGGGGGCATGCAGAAGAGGCTGAAGTGGTTGTGGGAGCACGTCCGCGTTCTGGTCATCGAGGAGGTGAGCATGGTGGCGGCTGCTCTGTACAACGCGCTGATTTTTCGCGCCTGCCACGGGCGCAGTGACACACACGACGCGCAGGAGTCCACCCACAAGAGGCCGCATCACCACCTCGGGCGCGTCCCCATCGCGTTGCACCTCGGCGATTTCCTACAGCTGAAGCCCACTGGCAGCATCGGGCCCCTGACGGACGTGAACGGGTGCCAGGACGACGGGCCCTACAAGTACGCGGAGCCGCCGACGGTGGAGATTCAGCACGCCATCAGCGTCTTCTCTCGCATCCCTTGCGTCTTCGAGCAGAAGGGCACGAAGCGCTTCGAGCCCGGGGACCCTCTGATCGCGTTCTTGGGTGCACGCGCGGGGGCAAGCGCTTCCCGCCAGAGGTCTGGTCTGCCTGGGAGAGTTGGCCCCGGACAACCACGGCGTCCTGGACCCTCGGCGCCAGCGCGAGAAGTTTCGGCTCGGCTTCGGTAGGGCATCTACTGGGAGACGCTCGCGAGGTGGATCAACGCGCGCGCTCGTCGTGACGCGCGGCGCCTGGGCGTGCCCCTCGTTTTCCTGCAGGCCGCAGACGAGCGCGGCGCGATTCAAGGCGACCCAGACGCAGGCCGCCGCCTCCTGAACGCCCCGACCACGCACAGGACGGGTGACATCCACGGCGCCTCACCGGCACCCGTCGGCACGGAGGTTCGGTTCACGGCCGCGCAGGAGGAGTCGAGGAAGAAGTTGGGGCACACGCAGGAGCAACGGGCCACCATCGCGTCCTTCGAGTTTCACGCAGACGACGAGCGAGACTACGAGGAGTGCGCGCTGGGCCAGATCTTTCGCCCCCGCCACCTACCGCAGGGAATCTGGAGGCTCCACGGCGTCAAGGAGCCCCCGATCTACTAGGAGGTCGCCGCGGTGCTGCCGCGGAGCGCCGAGGGCGCTGACGACGACGGCGCGGCCAAGGCGCGGGCGAGGAGCTTGCCCACGTTCAGGCCCAGCGAGCAGGAGCTCACGTGGCAGAGCTCGGGGCCGCAAGTTGTGCGCCGCTCGGGGTTCACCCTGACGCGCGCGCCCTACCTGACCTCCACGCTGTCGCAGGGTCAGACGCTGCGCAAAGGCGTCACCATCGACTGCGCCAGGGATGAGGACGCTGGTCACACGGGCACGTCGGACGAGCAGCGGCGGCTGCACCTCTACGTCATGTTCCCCCGCGCCACGCGCGCGCGGAACATGCTGATCCTGCGGCCGCCCGCGCGAGACCCCCGGGCGCGCGGGCCGCCGGCGCCCCCGCGGAAGGCGCTCGAGGAATTCGACAAGAGAGCAGTGTACTCTAGGGTTGAGGCGGAGCAGCTCGCGGCAGAGCTGGGCTTCGTGCTGCCCCCCGCCTGAGCACGGCCGCGATTAGCTCGGCGCACGCGGGATTGCCCCGACGGCCTGGCCCGAAGGGTTGCCCCGACGGCTTCGCGATCTAGCCGTCGGCAAACGCGCGCGCGATTGCCCGGGCGGCGAGGGCGCCGAGGAACATCGATTTGCTTGCGCCGACCAGAGGGGCGGGGAGGCGCACACGGAGAAGACGCAGGCGGAGGATGAGGAGGAGGGAAAGAGCACGGGGGAGGGCGATGATGAGGAGATGGGGAGGTGGAGGAGGAGGAGGAGGAATAGGAGGATAAATAGAGGGAGGAGGAGAGGGCACAGCAGGAGGGCGAGAGGGGAGCGTCCGCCAGGGAGAGGAGGAAAGGGCTAAGGAGAAGCCAAACAGATTATCATGCGGGGTCCTACCGTCGGAGTAATTGTTTTGTTGTCCCTCCCCCTCCCCTCCTTGGGGGAGGATGCGAAATTCACCACAACAGGAATCGTCACGTGAAATCCCCAGAGAAGAAGGAGCAGGAGGAGGAAGAGGAGGAGGAAGAGCATCGCGCAAAAGACCTCGAAACGCATTCGACGAACGCAAATGACGCACACCCCGCTAAACAGAAAACAGGGAGAAGGAAGAAGTAAAGGGGTATCCAGAAAAGGCCCAAGGGCCGCAGACTCTCAAGCATGCCCTCTCCTCACGGGAGGAGGGGCCTGGGACGTGGAAAGAGAAGCATCGTTGGGTCATCTTTGCCAGAGAGCTGCCGGGATCTCACAATCAGGAGCCCGATGCTGACAAGGAGCCGCCCTCCATCCGTGCAACTGCCACACGGGCGGGCGTTGCGGGACGCAGGATTCACCGGGTTTGCTCCACGTCCGCCGACTCCTCAGACTCCGAGGTCTGTGGTGTCCGAGGCACGGGGAAGCTCCCGCCATTCTGACAGCTTGCGTCACATGCGCCTGCCGGAAAGCTGCTCAAGACGTGCTTCCAGTGCGCTTTGCCTGGGACATGCTTTCCGTCCCTGGTCCGGGGATGCTGCGCGAGAGGTGGTCCGTCCCCTTCCGCTTGAGACATCCTCGCAACCCTGGGCTCCGAGATGCCCTCACCTGAGGTGGTCCGGCCCGTCTCGCCTGAGACATCTTCGCATCTCTGGGCTTGGCGATACCACGGGGTCCAGCCCGTTCCGCTTAAACATCCTCGCAACCCTGGGCTCCGAGATGCCCTGACCTGAAGTGGTCCAGCCCATTTCGCTCGAGACATCCTCGCAACTCTGGTTTCTGAGCTGCCGCGCGCGAGGTGATCCAGTCCATGGCGTGTTATTGAAACATCCTCGCAGTTGGGGGCTCCGAGACTGCGCGCGAGGTGGTCTGGCCCGGTTCGCTTCAGACATCCTCGCAGTTCTAGGTTATGCGCAGTTCTACGTTCCGAGAGGGAAAAAGAAGGAGGGAGGGGTCAGGATAAAACGAAATAATTGATCAACTAATATCTAATGGCCTTCGGCACATCTCACCACTGTGCCTGGGTTGTAGATCAGAGCCCTTTCGGGCGTCGCATAGATTTCCTCCCCCATTTTGGTACAGCCCTCAATCTGTTCGTGTCCCCACAGGGAGTATCGCATGCGCCCCCCCCCCCGCCCGTTTCAGCGCACCAGCCACACGTGTCGTGGCTCTGAAATTGCATGCGACACACTACTCGCTGAGGCTTCGCGTTATGCGGCACTTTGCCACTGCAGCTACCTATGGGGCCACGAAATTTTTGAGGGGTGTGTGCCCAGATGGGCGGGAGGACGCTACGCGGCACCTTGACGCAGGTCGGTGGAGCGAGTACGTTTGGTTCCGAGGAATAAAGCACCGCGCAAGGAACTCTGCGACGTTCCTGGCGTTAGCCAGGTTGACGGTTCACCACTTGCATCCAGTTGTTTTGGGCCAGGGGTTCCGTTGCCAAACGGGGCGCCATGATTTTGCGATCGAGGCAGGTGGGGCGGCCGCGAGCTTTAGGGAACGGTGGAAATTGTCATGGCGACGGTTCGGACAGCGCGAGCCTTCGGAGGCAGGAGAAGTAAGTTGCCAAGTTCGATGTGTTCCGGTCTGTAGGAGGCCTTCAGGGCGCCCTTGTCTTTACGAAGCGCGCGGATTGCACTCAAGATACTCGTGCGAGGATCTTCGGAGGCCTTGCATGAAGCCCCAGGAGCATGGATGTAGCGCCAGGGGCCAAGCTGTCGAATGGCCACCATTCGGGGGGTCACGCCAGGGTGGCGGGTGCGATCCCCATCGGCCATTTGACAGTGAGGCCCCACAGGCACGTGCGCAGGCCCATCAAGAGCGCAGCGGGGTTCAGCCCGCCAGCGCAGTTGACAGTGGCGCCCCACTGTCAGTCAAAATAAGCTAATGAGAGGCCCAGGTCCGGGCGGCTAACGAAGTCCGATCACCTATTTGACAGTGGCCCCGCCGCTGTGAAATGGGCAGTCGGGGGGCCCAGGCCGACGCGGGGAAATTGGGTTCCGATCGCCGATTTGACAGTGGGGGGCTATTGGGTATCCCGATGACCCATTTGACGGTGGGATCCCCAGTATCAAGTGGGAAATCGGAAGGGTTGTGTCGCCGATTGATCGTTCGACAGTGGGGATACCATTGCCAAATGAGCAAAGTTCGTTTAGCACTTGTCGCTGCGATTTTGACCCCTCTGCCAGGGAGGATCGGGGGAGAATCTCACACGCATTGAAGACCCCAAGGGGTCGGTGGATTCGAGGAAACCTCATGCGAGAGCTGCATTTGAATACGTGTTGGCATCCATCTTTTCAGTGTTGCGCGGCGCCAAGGCGAGAACCCCATTCTGTAAACGACCCACCCTACATATTGCGGTTGTTCCGTACGTTTGGAGGTTGCAAGAACGTCTCAGGCGAATTGCCTTGCCCGGCCTACGGACTCGCCTAGTAATACGACAGGGGGGAGTTAGTTAGAATGAAGGGGACTGGAGGAGGAGGAGGAGGAGGAGGAGGAGGAGGAGGTTCGGAGAATGAGGGATGACGAGGAGGAGGAGGAGGAGGAGGAGGAGGAGGAGGAGGAGGAGGAGGAGAGAGAGGAGAGAGAGGAGGAGAGAGAGAGGAAGTGGAGGAGGAGGACGACGACGACGACGAGGAGGGCATTGGCACCCTCCAAAAGCCGAGCGCGCCAGTAGCGTCTCGCAGTACATCGGCGAGTACATGCAGCGCATTGAAAGCAGGCCCCATGCCTCTCCATCTCCCCACCATTTCCTCCCCTCCCCCCTTACACCCCCTGCGCCGTGCTGGGAAGCATCTGGAGTCGACGGAGATACAACTGCATAAACAGAGACACTCGGAGCTCCGCGCGGATGCTTTGGAGTGGCGCATCCGGCTCCGTGCGTGGCTTGCCCCGCGCGCCAGGGAGGGGCGTCCTGCGCCGTTCCAAGAAGTCCGCGCAAGCTCGGAACGCCTGTGTTTTTGTGGGCCTGAGTGGAGCCAGAGCCCGACGCTCGAGGCTGTGGGCAGAAGGGGAGGGTGCTGGCACTGCAGCCCTCCTCCCCGCAGGGGCTCGTGCCTGGGCCCTGTGGAGGCAGAGCGCGCCGCGGAGCCCGCGCGGGCGGAGGCGGCGACCGAGGCGGAGGCACCCCCGGGAGGAGCCGCCGCCACCCAGCCGCAGGTGGGCACGGCCTGTGGTGGCCGAGCTGTCCGCCGTGGCGCGGGTGACCGCGAGCGCCCGCCTGCGGGGGAAAAACACACACACACTCACACACACACTCACACACACACACTCACACACACACACACACAAAACACACACACACAAAACACACACACACACACAAAGCACACACACAAAGCACACACACACAAAACACACACACACACACTCACACACACACAACACACACACACAAAACACACACACACACACACTCACACACACACACACTCACACACACACACTCACACACAAAACACACACACACACACACACACACTCACACACACAAAACACACACACACACACACACACACACAAAACACACACACACACTCACACACACAAAGCACACACACACACACACAAAACACACACACACACACACTTATGGTTTGGTCGGTCTCAGAGGAGGACGATTATGTTAAAATCCACTAACCAGGTCAAAACCACATTTAGGGTTTTTTATGATAAAAACCTAAACTATGTCAAAACCATACTTAGAAAAATGGGCTCGTCGCTGCTTCGGTGAGCACATTTGCAGCGCCATCCTGCAACGACCTCATCGTTTTCGCTTAGAAGTCTTGCGTGGGCATCGGGTGGGTCTTGGAAAGAAAGGTGTCCAGTCGTGGCGCAATTCTATGCGATGCTATGCGATGCAACGCAATGCAACAGTGATATGCTAAGATATGGTATGCTACGCGATGCAATGTTGCATGGTGCAATGCTACGCAATGCAATTTAATGCTACGAGGATTGCACATGTAGTTCTATGCTATGTTATGTTGTCCAGTACTATGCTATGCTATATTATGCTATGCTACGCGGGTTCCACCTCCTCCTCCTCCTCCTCCTTCCGTGCCAGCGCCGTGCAGGAGGAGGAGGCTGAGGAGGAAGGGAGGGGGGAAGGGGAGGAGGAGGAGGACGAGGAGGAGGAGAAGGACGAGGAGGGGAGGAGGACGAGGAGGAGGAGGAGGACGAGGAAGGAGAGGAGCGCCGCCACCGCCGCGGGGGGGCGTCGCCGCCGCCGCGGCGGGGGGGGCGCCCCGGCTTATTACGGGGACATCTTCACTGCGCAGGCGGCGCGCGCGCATTCGCGCGCGCGCCGCGCGAGCGCCGTGCGGGATGATGGCGAGGAGGAGAAGGAGGAGGAGAAGGCGGAGGAGAAGGATAGGCAGGCCTTCACTTGTTTTCCCCTCGCAGTGCTTGCGTTCAAAGAGTGCCCACTTCCCCTTGCAGTGCTTGCGTTCAATGAGTGCCCACTTTCCCCATCGCAGTGCTTGCAATTAAATGTCGGTTTTCATGAATAACCGTTTGTGCTCAAACCATATCATGTGCCGATTTCCGTTTCAATGCAGTGGGCCGCTCAGATAGAGGCAGACCTCTTGGAGTTTGCAGATGATACGGCTGCCGAGCCATGTGCCTGGGCCGCTCAGATAGAGGCAGACCTCTCGGAGTTTGCAGATACACATGCCGAGCCAAGTGCCTGGGCCGCTCTGATAGAAACAGACCTGCGAGCAGCAGATGATACAGCAGACCTGCAAGCAACAGATGATACAGCAGCAGATGATACAGCAATTGTGGTATGCGACGGTGAATCATCGCGGTGGGCTCTGACGGCGTTGCACAGGGAATTGCGGAATCCCTCGGAGTTGGTGGCTGGTCGAGCGGTGGAGTCGATGGCTTGGCTGATGAAGAACAACGGTTTCAAGTCTTGCAAGCGCCCCCCAAGGATGGATCCCGTTTCGGAGTCGATGATCACAGCCGTCGCGGCGCCCTCGTCGTTCATGTCGATGATGGCCCTGAGCGAGGTCCACGGCCAGAGCGAGTGGAAAACTAAATGCACGCTGACCCGTTTCTATTCGGCCTTGCACTTACTGATGTGGAGGCAAGGTTTGCAGATGGCGCGCCGTCTGCGCGCCAAGGTAGTCGAGGCGGGGGGAGAGCTTATCTGTTTCAGCGGGTTCGCATCGTACGACGAGACGCCTCTGCCAGTGAGGGCGCATGCCGAAGAGAACGTCGTCGTGAATGTCGGAGCACACGGCGCAGCAATAGTGGAACCAGGTCTTGACAATGTTGCGATCGCCACGGCTGTGCAGGAGGAGCCCAAGGCAAAGATTCTGCAGACGGAGTTTCACATTTCGATGTTGGTGAAGGTTGGCTCCATTTACCAGGACGTCAGTTTGGAGCTCCCCTGCCCGTTGCAGGTCATGGACAGAGCCACGGGCGAGACCTACGCTCATTGCCTCGGCTGGCAGGGCAGGAAAGGCTTGGACGACATCTCTACCAGATTCATGCGGCGCGATCGGCACGTGATGAGCGATTCTGACAGTGCTGTGCTGCGGGGCGAGCGGTGCCTCGCTACTAAGCGCCCTGACGTTGGCGTGGCGCAGGGCTTCTGCAGGCTGCACCGCATTTCGGCGATTGCCTCCAGCGGGATCGACAAGTTTATGAAGGACGATGTCAGTGGAATTATCAACATAGCCTTATCGTTGAAGGCTTCGGGGGCCACGCGAGCATTTCGCCGCGCTCTCAGGGCAGTCATTCGTGCGCGACTTGTCGTGCTCAGGGGTTCGCCTGGTTATGTTGCAGATCGTCGCAGGGCTAAGCTGCTCGACGTCTTCTGTCCGATCCACCCTGGCAACCACTCCTCTTTCATCGATAGGGCCATCGTGCAGCTCTGCGCCAATGGTAATTGGGACAACAAACAGAGATTCGAAGTCTATGTCACATGTGAATACGACTACGAGGAGGTGGTTCATTACGTTTGCGTTCATTTCGTGAAAGTGGTGGCTGGACGTTGCTTCCGACCACACCCGAGGTCGCGATGGACAGGCGCAAGGGGTACGCTGGAGAGGCTCGGGCTGTTGATGAATATCCATGGGTTGTTCCAGGAGGCATACGTGGTGTTCTGCAAGAGTTACAACGTGCGCGTTCCGCGGGAGCACCAGGGGCACAGGCTTCCGATCGTTGACGATGTTGACCAGACAGCCCAGAACTCCGAAGGGCATCTCCCCGTGGACCACAAGAGCGATGCCAATGCCCAGTTCATCAAGCAGAGGAAGCAGTACATGAAGGTCGGGCTTGAATTCAGTGTCTGCGTTTCGGCGCCAGCGAAGTTGGTCGTCATGACGATGGTTGTTGAGCCGCAGCAGGCTCCCATGCAATCTGCCATCGACTTGGCGGGCAAGGCGTGGGAGAGGAAGCAGAACGCTCGCCGCGCGTATGCAGTGCAGCAGGGCTTGGACGCAAAATCGAGGCGGTTCAGAGTGCAGGAGGCGTACGGCGTCGCTCAGGAAACGAAGTACAAGGATGAGGTGACCGACTTGCTCGATGGGGCGAATGATGCGTGGGAAGCCTTGCCGCTAGCCAGTCGAACATCAAATACTCGGTGTCTAGCGTTCCGACTACTTGCGTTCGGGGCGGCCTATATATATGTGAAGTTGGTTCGGCCCAGTCTGAATTTCCCCAATCGCACGTACCGGCTTGCCTTCGATAGCATTCGAGATAACGACATGTCCTACATGGGTCGGATGCTGGGCATGTACCCGAGGTGCCGCTTCGACCCCTGGACGTTGAAGCTCGTTGAGCACTACGGCGATGACATCTGCACCGAGCGCGCCGTCATCGACGTTGTCACCAGGGCAATGCACGAGGAAGTTGACAATGCGAGAAGGGAGGCTACTCATGCGAGCATCCGTCGGGACGTGATCAAGGCGTCATGCCAATCGCCAACGATAGGGCTCGGTTTGGCCAGCGGCCGCTTCGTGGACAGGAAGGGCAAGCAGATCTGAGACTGCAAATCCCTGGAGGCCCGCGGCGATGACCAGACTGGGGAGGCTAGCGGCGCCGAGGAGCCAGCGCCGAAAAGGTCCAGGGGGCCATGTGGAGGCGCATGCAGGGCGTGGCTGAGCGAGCAGCTCCGAGGCGTGCCCAGAGCGGAGCAGGACCTCAAGGGCATCCACGACGCGTACAAGCAGCAGACGCCAGAGGAGAGGCTTAAATACACTAAGGATGGAGCTGCAGCCACGCAAGCTGGTCGAGAAGGAGTTGCAAAACCATTCGGCCCCGATGCTCAGGATGTTCAGAGGGCCTTGCATCGCGATGCGCGCCGCGAAGAACTGCGGGTGATGAAGGAATGCGTTGCCGACCGCATGAGGGCGCAAGTACATGACGAACAGCAGCCGCCGCATTTGTCATATTCGAGCTTGGCTGTGCTGCCCACTGGTGCTAATACATTCGCCTGCATTGCAGACGGCGTCGCACAGGCCCGCAGGACCAGGCACATCGCAGACAAGAAGCGCGCGCTGGAACAGAAGCTTTACGACGAGGCCTTGGCGGCGCATACAGGGCAATCTGATGTTTCGGCCGAGACATTGGAAGTTGTTTCTGGCGTCTGCATGTCGGGTTTGCCACTCACTACGGCATGGGAGCACCGACCCCCTTTAACTTCGACGGTCAAGTCAGCTTGCTGGATGCCTCGGTCAGCCAGAGATTTGGCCAAGCTCGTGGCGAGCCTAG